AAATATGGCATGAGTCTATCAATAAAATGTTCAAAATAAGACAAAACAACTTCTCTGTTTAGGAATGTTGACACGGGGTAAAAAATACGAAGAAAAGCAAAGAAATGAGTGCTTTAAAAGTTGAAGCAGCTGTTGTCTCTGTTGATAAACAGCTATCAAATGATACACATAGAGCATGTTAGGGGCACTAGAAATGCACTGTTTCCTAATGCATGTGCTCACTGTGAATCTTCCATAAATTAAGAGTGAATATACATTCTTTTTTCTACAGGTATATTAATTTTCCTAATTTAAAACTTTTAAATAATACTGCATACAGGTGTGGGAGACAGGCTTGAGCCTAGGGTGAAAGTTTTTTTAACAGCCATACAGCAGGCCTGATGCAACCACCCTGGAGCCACAAGGAACGCCTTGTGACATCTGCTCCCATTGGCAGATCATGAGACTGATGCCTAGAGCTCACCACTCCCTAATCACCACCCTTGAGATCCCAAATTGCAACACTTAGCCTGGGTCACGTGGTTCCCAGGAAACCAGGCCCCATAAGGAAACCGGAACCTAAATAACCTGAAACCCATTATGCTAATGAGGTGTCTGGCTCGCGATGTCATGATGGGACACAGCCCTGCCAAAGATCTGAGTTGTAACTTCTTGACTGGACCCCTACCCCTATATAAGCTTGTGCCCTTCTGCAATAAACCGGATCTGTGGCACCAAACCTGGTCTCCTGTGTCTGAATGCGGCTCCGCTGACACAGTCTCCTCACTGGCCCTGGGGTCCGGATCTGACAGAAGTAGCAACAACTGGCGGCAGCGCCAGAGCAAGCAGAAGAGTGGCCTCAGCGCCAAGCAAGCAGAAAAGCGGCCTCAGCGCCGAGCGAACAGAAGAGCGACCACAGCTTGCGGCCGCAGCAGCGAGAAGCAAAGGGCAGCGCCCATGCGATCAGGGGCTGCGCCCAGGAGGCAGTGCCTGAGTGCTCGCAGGCAGTGCCCATGTGAATGCAGGTGGCACCTGAGCGAGGGGAGGAGCAGCGCCTGGAGATAGCACCCAGCATTGGAAGAGTGGAGGGGTGGCCCACATATAGGATTTCTAAAGATGAAGTCAATTTTGCCATCAGCAACATACATCTTACATTTTTATACCTGACTTGCCAGTTTCTGAGAGAAGTGTGTCAAAGTATCATACAGAGGAAGAGAACTTAATTTCCTATATTCTCCAAAAGATTCTACTTTATATATTTTGAAATGATAGTGAGTCTAGACCAGTTCATTTCAATTATATTAGTTTTAGATTATTCTGTCAAAAGACAAAATTTCACTCTGCCCTTTTTAATGCTTCAGCATCCTGATTCCTATTCTTGCTTACTTTAATATGATTACAATGTATTTCTCTGAGTATATAGCTAATATATTTTTTGGATACAGTTATTTTTAAAGGTTTCCTTGTCATTTTGTCTAAAAGACTATTTATAAAGGCAAAATAGCCTTTCTACTGTTTATTCGATCTGGACCTCTTCAATAGGTAAATACGTGTATTTATTATGATAAATGATGTATTTTGTGGGCTAGCAAACTCACAAAGATGAATTCACCAGCTCTGCATGTCTGAATATCCACATCCTGGTGTAGTCTCCAACACTGTGCCAGGGTTGTTCATTGTGATCAAGGGAATACAAGCGGTGTGACACTTCTGAGATTAGGTTACAGAACACTGTACTGCCAAGTCAGGTTCTCCCCCTATCTTGCTTTGAGTGAAGGTAGTTGTCACACTATGTGGACATTCAGATAGCCTACAGAAAACTCTCAAAGGTGGGAAAGTGAAGCATCTGTCCAACAGGAAGAAATTCAGGCTTGCCAATGACTATGCGAGTGATATATGACATGGACCCTCTAATGCCAGATGACTGCAGGCCTGGCCAACATGACTGCATACTCACAAGGTACCCCAAACCAGAATCAGACAGCTAAGTCCCTCCCAGATCCCCAACTATGATAACTGAAATAAATGCTTACTATATGCAGCTAAATTTGAGGCCATTTGTTACCCAGCAAGAGGTATCTAGTTAACACTGACACTTCCATCCAATGTATTTTGTCTCCTAGTTACATGCATCACCTTAACTATTTTTTCTCCTTAACACCCTTCAATCATGTTGTCCTTATACTGTTTTTTTGCTTTCAAGATTTTGGAAATGTTTCATTCAATGTACATTCTTAATTACTGCTATCCTTTCAATATGTTGCCCAAATTCATGAACAGGAAATTTAAGTCCCAATGCAAAACTGTTAAGAGTTTTAGCTTTAAGAGGTAATCAGGGGGATGGAGAGATGGCTCGGCAGTTAAGAGCACTGATTGCTCTTGCAGAGAGCCCAGGTTCGATTCCCAGAACCCACGTGGTGGTTAACAACCATGTGTAACTCCAGTTCCAGAGGATCTGATGTCCTCTTCTGACCTCCACGGGCATTGCATGACAGGGGTACACTTACATACATGCAGGTAATACACTCATATACATAAAAATAATAAAATATTTTTTTTTAAAAAGGTAACTAGATCATGCAGACTCTGCCCTCATGGATTAAAAGGCTGTTATTAAAGATTACTGCAGGAAAGAGTCATAAAAGGAAGAGTTTTTGCCCCCTTTCCTCATCTCCTTTTTCATTTGAAAAAGGCATCTTTGAAGGCATCTTTCTCAGCACTTGATACCCTATACCTTGTCATAACGTAGCACAAAAGCCCTTGCCAGATGTTGGTGCCATGCTCTTGGACATGCCAGCCTCTAAATTCATGGGCCAAATAAACTCCATCATTTATAAATTGCTCAGTTTGTAGTACTCTTGTAAAAGTAGAAAATGGACTAAGACAAGTACTAGTCAATAAATTTTTTGTCGAAGTTTTTTATTATTATAACTTCCTCCCCAAACAAGACAAAACAAAAAATGGCATACTTTTACTTCTCACACCACATTCTAATCATAGTTATCATGTTGTGATCTTCTGGAATTATAGTTTATTATTACATTTTTAAAAGTTAAAAACAACTGATTCAGAGGCTGTGGAGATAGCTTAGTGATAAAGAACTTATCATATAAGTGTGAGGACCAAAGTCTGTATTCCCCGCACCCACATAAAAGCAGCGTGGAGTGGCAGCTAGCCTGTAACCCCAGTGTTTAGAAGACTGACAGGGTATTACATGGACAGGCTGGCCAGCTAGACTAGCTCCATCAGCAAGCTCCAGGATCACTGAGAGATTCTGTCTTAGTAAGTGGGAAGAGAACAAGGATGAGACACCTGATGTCAATCTTTGCCCTGATATGCACAACTGTGTATGCCCCAACTACAACAGGTGTACCCACACACATGAGAACATGCATATACATACACACATCCCATACAAATGTACATACTCAAAACATGTATTTAGAAACACTGACTTTTGGGCTGTAGAGATGGCTTGGTGGGTAAAATGCCTGCTGTGTAAAGGCCTGATTTCAGATTCCTAGAATTCCCATAAAGCCAGACACAGTAGCGTGCCAGATAACCCCAGGGCTCCTAAGGCAAGATGGGAGGTGGACACAGGAGAATCCCAGGACACTTGCCAGCTAGCTAGTCTGGCATACCCAGTGGACAAGAGACTCTGTCTCAAACAAGATAGGTGAGGACCTCTGACCTCCACATGTGGATTATGGCATGCACATATTTGCATTCACATACAAACACTAATACACATACATCATACACATAAAGTATAAAAAAACTTTTATACTAATTCTATTACTCAATATCACTTTTTAAAAAATTTGTGTGTGTGTGCACCCGTGTGCATGTGTACGTATCCCACGGTGCACATGTAAGAGGACAATGGCAGGAATCAGCTCCCTCCTTCCACCATGTGGGGCTGGTGGATCAAACTGAGGTCATCCGGTTTGGAAGCAAGCACCTTTACTCAACTGAGCCACTTCACCAGCCTTCAGTATTACCCTTAAATCTCACTACTGTCTTCAGAATATTTTTTCATGCTGGGGTAAATCTGCATGATTCTTTTCTTTAATACGTGTGTCAATGGAGGACAACAAAGAGCAGCAGTAACAGAAAAGCAGAGAAGGAAGACATGCATTTCTCTTCTTTATCACTGTCAATCTGACTAAAAGCTTGGATGTTATGCTGTTTTGAATTTTTCTCTTAGAATAGAACAGAGCTTAATCTATCACCTTTAAATTCAGCCTCACTCAAGTTTTCAGAACATGGGCAAAAAGCAGCCATATATTTTGCTAGAATGTAATATAAATAGCCTCTGGTTCAATTCGCAATAGTTCTTATTCCCTTCTGAAACCTCTTGAGCCAGGACTTCACTGTTCAAGTTACTATCTGCCTTCTGATCTACACTGCAACCAAAATGACCCAGAATGGCTCTGCTCACAGCACTCTAGGATTTCCCTAGTCCACAGATCCAAATTCTTCCAAATTTCTGTCTCAAACCAGTTCCAAAGGCTTATAAACTACATAGGTAGTCAAAGCAACAGTCCCACTTTTTAGTACCAATTTTCTTTATTAGTTATTTTTCTCATTGCTGTGGCAAAATGTCTGACAAAAGCAACTGTTCTAGTTAGCTTTCTATTGCTGTGATGAAAACATGGACCAAAACCAACTTGGGGAAGAAAAGGTTTATTTGGTTTACAGCACAGTCTGTCATCAAGGGAAGCCAAGGCAGAAACTCAGAGCAGGAACCTGAAGCACAGACCATAGAAGAACGCTGCTTACTGGCCTGCTCCCATAGCCCTGCTAAACCTGCTTTCTTATACAACACAGGACCACCTGCCCAGGGGTGGCACTGCCCACAATGGGCTGGGTCCTCCTCTATCACTCAATAGTCAAGAAAGTGCCCTACAGACATGGCCACAGGCCAATTCAATGGAGGAAATTCCCCAACTGAGGTTCCTTCTACCCAGGTATGTTAACTTGACAACTAAAGCTATTCAGCACAGCAACTCAGGAAGGCTTTACCTTGGCTTGCAATTTGAACATGGCAGTGAAAGTGACTCCAGCTGCAGCAGCAGGAGCATCAGGCAGCTGTTAACATTCCTTCTGAGGTCAGAAAGTAGAGACACATGAACACTGGTGTCAGCTCACATTCTCCTTTTTCTCCTTTTTAGTTCGTTGGGAACCAAGGCCCACATTCAGGCTCAGTCTTCTCTCCTCAGTTAAAGCTCTCTAGAAACACCCTCACAGATGCACCCAAGGTGTGTCTCCAAACCCTAATTCCAGTCAAGCTGACAATGAAGATTAGCCATCGCAGGAGCCATTACTCTTATTCTGCCTCTTTGAATCTAACATGCCATTTTCTTCTCCAGCTACCTTCCTTCTTGGCTTTCCAGCCTACTCACCTCTCATCCACCCTCCCTGAGTTTCACTGGCCTTCTTGCATCTGAAGTTGATCCTTCATCTCTTCACACACTTTTTAGCTCCATTCCCTTTTCTCTCCTTTAATGATTTCCCCAGGCATCAAATATTTTATTAATTTTTCCCTTATTTTCTCCCATGTCTTAGTTTAGGTAATTTCCATCAACCTCTCTAATCTCTTTTTCATTGTAACTAATCTACTATTAAGCCCTTCAAATAAATTTTTATTTCTGATACTGTATTTTGGCTCACTTTCATCAACTCTCTTTTGCTTTCCAAAATTCCTTATCAATTTACATACTTTGTTAACTTAGTAAATATTTTTACAATAGTTGCTTTATATTTTTCACAAGTTCAAGTTTTGCATGTGTGCACATATATGTGCACATGTGTGGCAGTCAGAGGACAATTTCAGGAACCATCACCTTGTTTGTTAAGACAGGGTCCCCCACTGGCCTAGAACTCACTAATTAGGCAAGGCTCACTGGCCAATGAGCCCCAGAGATCCACCTGTTTCCACCCACCTTTCCAGTGCTAGGATTACAAGTGTACATCACTAAGTTCTGATTTTTTTTTTTTAATGCATTCTAGAGACCTAACTCAGGTCCTCATGCTTGCACAGCAAGCACTTTACCAGCCGAACAGAAATAATATATTGCTTTAAGCTTCTGAATGCTTCCTATCAGAGACCAGTAACATTTAGAGAACAGGCAGCTTAAGACACACACACTAGTGCTAAAAACCCTAACTAGTATATCTAATTCAGTTTAGTAGAACTTGAGCTCAAAATCTGACTCAATTACTACTAGCTGGGGAGCAATGGAAGGGTCATTTCCATTTCCTTTCTGAGCCCCAGTTTGGTGACTAGGGAAATATTATCCATGAATATTGGGCTTTTTATGGGAATGCAATGGTAATGTACCAAATTCTCAGGAAACACTCAACTGTTAGCTAAAAATAAGTAACATGAGGGGTAATATGATGGGAGTCAGAAGCACCTGTTCACCCAAACATGGTATTTGAAGAATCACTGCCACCCAACACTATCGGCTCAAAGATGTTGGTATGTAAACTATGTTAGTTTACATCAAGGATAATACTGTTCTTTAATTAATCATTAGTTCACTTAACTATGAATATACATGACCTAAACTGTTACGACAATTATGACAGATAAATCATTTCAGAGTTGAGCTTCTTATGTCACAAAAGCCAGTTACCCTCAGGACCAAATTCTAGCCAGAAATTTTGAGCTCCCATTGTATCACATCTAGAACCATGCTCATTTCAGTTGTGGTATTTAAACATGTCTTTAAAGTTAAAATAATGGAATGTAGTCAGGTGACTAGACTAGTTCCCAAAGCTGTAAAAGCTGTAAAGCTCGTCTCAACTATTGAAAAGCACCTGAATGAAAAAGTGGAACTGTCATAACTAGAAAAGGTACACTTATGGGGAAAATGTTACTAGGTATTTTAAAACTCTAGATAGCGATAGCTGTTCTAAAGTCACTGTCAACTAACTCCAACACATGAGTCACCTGTGGGTCCATTTCTCTGAATACTTTTTCATTGTGAGTCACACTGTCCTTTCTCTTTGTCATTTTTTATTGTTTGCTAAACACTGCTTATAAAAGTATAATATAGTAATTTACAGACTGATGTAAACTAATAACACCAGAAAATAGCAGGTCCTTTCTGTTAAGAGCTAGCAGTTAACCTAGGATTCAACTTTGTTTGGTTTTAATCTAATTCAGTATTCTGTTGTTCACAACCAACCTGAAAGATCAGGCTTCCCTGATCAGCAGTGCTTTGATTTCAGCTAGTCTAGAGATCTCTGTGCTACTCCTCAGTTTTTCAGACTGAATGAGAAATCTGTTTTAAAATTAAGACATAACTGACCAGAAGCGGTGGTACATATCTACAGTCCCTGCACTTGTGAGGCTAAGGCAAGAATTCAAGGCCACCTGGATTATACAGTGACCCAATAAATAAATAAATAAATAAATAAATAAATAAATAAATAAATTTTAGTCATAAGCCATTTGAGTTGAGGATGGTGTCTTTTTTGCCCCTTAGATTCATCCAAGTTCACTATACTTGAAAGATCGCTCTCCTCTTCTTATCCTTCCTACAGCCTCCAAAAGCCTGATAAGGTACTACTGATAAGGCCATACATGCATCAAACTTACAGAATAATCTTGGGCAGATCATTCAAGTCAGTATTTCAACATTCTTTTATGAAAATAAAGGATACACAAGATGATTCTTAAATGTCCCTTCAAACCTTCATATTCAATTATCTGATATATAACTGTAACTTATGATCTATAAGTATTATTTTGTTCTCTATCATTTTGTTCATGTATTATTAGCAATCATAACATGTTATGTGACTGTATACACACACACTCACACACGCACGCACACAATCGATGAGCATATAGTAAGGTTAAAAAAAACTGTGCTACTTGGAATCACCTATTTCTTTTTAATTTGGAAAACACTGAACTTATTCATAAAGGAAATAAACTCTGAGGCACATGAACATGTAAACTGAAAACAAAACAACACAGTTTAGGACACTTACCCATCCTCAGTTTCTTTTAGTAAGCGACTAGCAATTCTAATCAGCATGCAGTATGCAAACTGTGATTTGAGACCAGACTTAGTAAACTTATTTAACATCTTGGAAACAGCAAGACGATCATTCTTCCTAAGGTGATAAAGTACTCCCAATGCATGATACTAAAGAAACAAGAAGAAGAATGCAGCATGGAGATTAGAAAAAAGAGAAAACACTAACATGAAACTAGAATCACATGGAACTAGATAAAAGATTTTTCATTAAAAGATACTCAAGTGAAATGAGCAAAACAGAATATGTTTTTATACTGAACTAAACACAGGTAACACTAAAAAGAGTCTACCCCAGAAGCTGTAAATGCAGAGTAGACAGTAGGAAGGGGTTTACATAAAACCTAAAGTGAATCTAGTGGGATCAACATTGGCTCATATATTCTTGGATCTAAGGTTTTGCCAGTGTCACAAATTTATTCATTTATAGTCAGAATTTTCCTATGTTGCCAAGGCTGGACTCAAATTTCTGAGCTCAAGTGGTCCTCTTGTCTCAGCATCTTAAGGGCTGGGACTACAAGTGTGTGTCACCTCACCTGGTTAAAGGTTCCTTTAAAGTAACTTTGAATCTGTCACCACCTTAGAAAAGGATTAATCTTCTAAAGTAGCCCAGGAAAGGGTCATTAGCATGTGCTTTGTATAAAAAGCACAATGATCAGTTAGAGCAATAGGTGTCTCTCAAGGGAAAAATAACTACTGTTTCCCACATTATTAAATATGCTAATATAAAAATTTACAAACACTGAAAAGATATAAATATCTTCCCAAATACATACAGAGCATTTTATATAAAACTACCAGTTAAGAATTTCATCATATTTCTTTTGATAAGAATAGTCTAATAAACATCCTAAGATTTTTTTTGACGAAATTACTTCAATGTTTCATAAAGTAAAAGCTGGTCTTTTATTATTTTTATAATATTTATAATCAAGGCCTAAGAAACAGAGTTAAGCATCCTTTTACACAAATTATTTTTCAAGTAAGACTGCAATGCATTATGAAATACTTTTGAAATAAGAATTTCTATCTACTACTGCACATGAGACTCTTTCCTGAACATTCCTACTGGAGGTTATCTAGCTTCTACTAAACACCTCAAGAGCCTAGGGAAGTAATCACAATTAATAAGATATCTGATAATGTACACTAACAGGCTGATGAATATGCCAAACAATTTGCATTTAGTTACTGTGGGATGATCAACATAAACTGACATGGTTCAATGACAGTACCTGCACCATGATATTGTCACTTGATGCAGCTTCTTGGGCTTCATTTATCCATCGTTTAACCACATCATAGCTTATCTTCATCATATGCTAAATTCAGAAAGACATGAGAATGTTTAATGCATGATCACTAGACATTTAAAAAAGAAACCTGAGTTACATTTCTTAAAAAATTACTAACATGCATTTCCCAAAAGACAGAAAATTCTGATGCTTTTAAAGTCTAAAATGTTAAGTCTCTATTCCTAGAACAAGAGAAAAACTATGCATTTTTCTTCAATATCCCCTTTACAAAGTAATAGAGACCTAGACAGGTGCTTGATACAAAAGGAAGTATCAGGATGGGAGAAGGGAAAACCAGGAAGCACGGAACAGATTGGCACTTAAATGATGTTAATGTAAGCTTCACTTCTAGGAAACTTCGCTGGAAGGAAGAAACAGACAATATATCCCTTGATCTAAACTCTGATTCATAACATTCCAGAATCAGAAAGTCTTGTGACTTCATTGCTCTAATGTAGTCACATATTTCTATTTGTGTGTGTGTGTGTCTGTGTGTGTGTGTGTGTGTGTGTGTGTGCCGGGGGGTGCATGTTAATGGAGGGGGGTGTGTGGGTTTGTGTGCAGATGTGTGCATCTGTGTAGAAGCTAGAGGCCAAACTTGTTTTTTGAGATAAGTTCTCTCACTGGGACCTGGAGCCTGACAATGAGGCTAGGCTGGCTAGTTAGAGCTCTAGGGATCTGCCTGTCTCCACCTCCCCAACGCTGGGATTTCAAGCGCATGCTACCACACTTGGCTTTTTATGTGGGTTGGAAGGATCTAACTCAGGTTCTAATGCTTGCCTGGTAAGCACTTAACCAAAAGAGCTATCTCTCCAGCCCCACAGTCCTGAAGAAAAGGAAAAAGAAAAGCTATTACTTAGATAAAGGTCATTTCGTGAGAGGAAATTCTGAAGTGGTATGAGAGACTTTAGATTAAGGGACGTATGCAGACACGGGAATGAAGAAAAGCTAAGGACAAAGCGGCAAGAGGTAGCTGCACAGGTGATTTTTAGAAACAGCCTTCCCTGTCCACTACCTCAGTTTCATTTCACTCACCACCTTCATTCCATGTACAACTTTCAGGTTCCCAAAACCTGCCAAACATAATTTCCTACTTTTACTGCCCATTTTAACTATTTAATGCCCTCCAGATAAAATATACTGGATAAAGTGATAGGCATACATACATATTTTTAACTGCTTTGTTTGTGAGAGAACAAACAGTGATAATTTATTTTTGCAGTGTATAAGAACAAAAAGCTGCCTGATTACTTACTAAGGAAGATACCAATGCTGAGCTGGAGACGCTGGAGACTTTATCCACAATAGCCTGCTTCATGTATCTTTCAATGGCTTGCAACATTGTTCCCTAATAACATTCAAAATGAAAAAGCTGTTAAAGAAAAGCACTGTCATGCAAAATTTCTACTTCAAAATAATGTACAAAAACTATCCATCTACTTGTTCTATACAAATATTGCATTGACGATTATATACAGTAAAAATAAAAAATATCCTGGTATTTCAGACACAAAGGAAAGTAAATGTATAATATCCTGCTACAGCAAACCTTAAGTATGTAATCCTCTGAAAATGAGATTTTTTTTTTTTACTTTAACTTGGAAAAAGCTCTGCCCTGAGAAGGTGGTGGCAGATAAAGATGACCAAACACACTACAATCAGTATTAAAGGAATTTTAGTGCTAGCAATGGCATTGCCAAGTCTTCCCACTAACAATTAATGCTAAAATGAAAAACAACCACAACAAAGTAACAGGGCAGCAAAAATAAATTAAGCCATTTACATTATTCCTTCTAGGATCCAGATTTATGAAATGCCCAATATGATCTAGCACAAATTATAAAACATGAGCCAGATATGGTGACATACGCCTTTAATTCCAGCATTTGGGAGGCTGGGGCAGAAGGATTATGAATTCAAGGCCAATCTGAATTACATAGCAAGTTAAAGGTCAGCACTACATAGTGAGATCCTGCCTCAAAAGAAATGATCAAACTTAAGAAGACTGCAAACATACACAAGCATAAAGACACAGTCATTATTCAATCTGCTTGGCAATCTTGACCGACCCTTCATTTTAACTTTTCCTATTCAGAGTTCCTAGGAAGAGAGCCTAACAATCTATATGATCCCAAATCTCCAGCGACAACACACTACATCGAGAATAAGCAACTGACTTAGGCCCAGGAGGACACAATTTGCTGGCTTATTGATGACTAGTCACAAGTCTGTCTTTAAATATTTGAATAACTGGTAAATGATACATCACCACAGTAAATACTCAAGAAATCTTGCTACGGAATTCCTTGGAGCAGCTCTATTTCTTGTTTTGGTGACTAAAATAAAGGTTTCCCTCAAATTTTGAGAGATCTGTGTCCTAAAACAGAGCTTTTATAAAAATTAAAATTGAATGGGTTTTTGTTTTCTATGTTTAATATACCCCAATTACAACAGTTTAGGAGAACAAGTAGAAAAAATAAACTACTACTAATAAAAGGAAAAATTGCCTGATGGAGAAAATCCCTGGAGCTACAAATACCTTTCTGGTAGTCATCTTCCTTTACTGACAATTCACTAAGTCAGACTAGGGAATTCTCCTAAATCTACAGGCTGCCTTAACATAAAGAGAGTTTCCTTTGGTAATTCAGTAAAACAAAGAGAACTCACATCTGTGATTCTGCAGAGTGCCCTGATAGCTGGGCCTCGGTACACATCTTCCTTTCCTGTCATGTCCTTGGTCAGACTGAAAAGAGGACAAAGTGGTTAACAAGAGATATTTACAAGGCTCTTTCCTGAGGACCCGACTCCTAACTAATTTGCAAGTATCTTCATAATGACCTTACCACCATTACTAATTCAACAAAGCATTTATGGAAGACACTATAAAGTACTGAACCATTAGGTAGAAGCAGAATACTCTTAAAAAATACAGCAGTAAGTAAAACCAAGTACTCTGCCCTCAGGGAATACATTCCAACAGGTCAAGAGAAAAAAAAACAACAACACATAAACAAATTTTTAAAAATACATCATTTTAAATACTGATAATTAACAATGAGGATGAGGATGATGGTATAGGAAAGCCTCCCAAATCCTAAAAAGCCCTCAGACTAAGGAGCTTTTTATTAAATAACTAACAAATGATAAGCTCATCTATTCCCTCCTGCCTCCCTCTGTGGCACAATCATCAGTGGCATCAGACCCTCTTCCTGAGCTTCAGAAACAGGCAGAAGCACATGAACTGAACTACACAACTTCACACCCATACTTTAAAAAGGTTAGCCTTTTCTCCTGCCTTCTGATGTCCACCAGGCATTTATACCATTCCCAAACTGGCTCTCAATCCCCCCAACTCCTCTCAATTAACCCAAAATGGCCTACAACATTTCATTAGGACGCAAAGAGCAAAAGGTCTGAAAACAGAGATTGATGAGTTCTCTTTTTAAAAAATTATAAAAATAATTCATTTCATAATGCAGTTACTAAATATTTAGGAAAAATGTGTTACATGTACTTGTTTTTCCTCACCTATATAGCCTTAAATGCCACTTAACTGGCAATAACCATTGTAGGCCATTTCTTCCTAAGGAGTGTTTTTTTTTTGCCATATTGTATTATTATTATTATTATTTGAGGGTTTCTGATCATGCTACATTCAGAACATACAAAGGGTAAAAATGAATTTTTTTCCAGAATATTTCAAAGGATGGTGTCAGTCTATCATTGTCTGCAAAGCACCTTTACATACTGTTACTATAGGTCACTTTGACTTCATTAAAGTAAGACACCATATGTCATAATTTTGGCCTGTACTGAAATGGGGGGAAAGAGGGTCCCCTAGAGGGTTCTTAGCCTCATTCATAAAAGAATTGAAGAATGGACCCAAATGGCAGAAAGTGGACAGACTTACAGAGACCTACATGGCTGTGGCTGGTCAGAAGTCTGCAGAGTTCTGCCTTACAAGGCAGGATTCCAGGCAGGAAAAATTCGCTACCTCATTAATGCAACAGGTATTCCACCCATCTATTTAAGCATAACTTAAGGAGAAACTGCCTTCCCAGGGTGGTTCTATCACCAGGTGATTGACCAATGAGATTAGACAGGTGGGTCCTCCAACAGATAGACTAGGGATTTTATAGTCTTGACCAGTTAAACTTATGGGACTTTTTGCTACTCTAACATTCCCCCCCTCTGAAGAGGTAACCCTAAAATCTATTTAGGGATTAGATAAGAACTCCCAAATACTTTTGACATTTTTGACCTCTGGAACAGAGTATATTGCTAAGAGGCCCAAGGACATTTTGACTTTTAGCCAAGAAACTGGCTACTTTTCTTTGCGGTCTTTTTACCCTAACTGCCTAGCCAATTCCTACCTCCTATTCCACCATCCTCTGACGAGGTTACCAAATTGCCAATAGGGAATCAGGACACAGACCGCTCTGGCTTCTTCCATGCTGAACAGGGATGCAGGGTAAGGCAACTGGGGTATCCCTTCAGTGGGTCTATCTTATGTCTCATAATTATTAAAAAAGATGAGAATGTAAAAGATGTTAAAAGGATATGGGAATAGAGATATTTTCCAAAATAGAAAAAATGAGAAAGCCTAAACAAATGT